TATTCATTCATTGGCCCGCTGATTTTTGTCCTTTGACCAGACTGTGCTCCAACCAACGGAAAAGCCGTGACACGATTTCGACCGGGTCTCCTCTGCAGGCCATTAGTGCCGTCTTTCCTCGGGCTCCGAAGACCTTCCTCAAAGAGGCAGATCTAGCTTTAGTGGGTGGACTTGCCGTTTGATCCACCGAAAAGGGCTGAGCGATGAAGTATTATATCAGTATATGTATAATGTCATTATATGTCTAATTATGTATGTCTACATCCAAATTAAAAATTCCAGTGAGAGCAAATGGTCACTCTCAGATTTCAGCGGTAACAGACTTGGCTAAGGACCTAAGAAGATTTGTGCGGCTTGTGTGCCACTTATGCAAAGTGGGAAGTCTAAGTAGTGTATACCTCAAATTGATGATTAGCATTGAAACAATGTTTCACCGTGTCGCCCCAACCTGTATGAGTGATCCACTGCCGGCTTTGGCCGCGCTGGCTCAGGGCAATTTCATTCCGCATGCAGCCAAGCCGACCTCCGAAGCGAGTACCGAGTTGAGCGAGTCGGATGACGAGATCACCAAGTTGCAGGCGACCTGCAAACGGAAAGAGACATCGATGAAGCATGTGTGAAGCACGTTCTGTGTATGTTTCACTGTCGGGAAACACAGCGAACGGATTCTGAAGATGAGTTCACGTAGCGACCACAGGATCGTGAGCATTCACGCAAAATAGTGAAAGGTGACCGGTAATACTGTACTCTGTAAGAGGGCTCAGTGACGAGTCATGCCCGTCAGAGAGAGAGGGAGATATGAGACTTTATCATTCCACATCTTGAAAATGTAAGAGTTGATTTCCCATTGAAGCACTCTGCTGCTCCAAAATCCCTCGTGCTGAGGGTCGTGCGCAGCATCTGTGGTACCAACCATCTGGTGCATGCTGAGTCAGCAAAAGGCTCCGGAGCGACACGTGAAGAACCATGGCTTTGTTTAACTGACATGGAATTGGTGAAAGACAGCGCGCAGGGTCTGGCAGCATCTCACGTGTGGTTTGTCATATGAGTCCCTTGACATCAGAGATACGTGAGTCCCGAGGGCCAGGATTCTTCTATACGCGTGGTTTGAAGGGCGCTTGTAGTAACAAGTGCCACGCTAGTAGTAACAGGTGCCTTACTAGTAGTAACAAGAAGCTATTAGAAACAAGAAGCTAGTAATAGTAACTTTATCTCATAGAGCAGGTCTGGGGTGTGTTCCTCGAGCTGGCCGTGCTTGCCTTGGAAATGTGAGGGATCACGGCTGGTCTCTAGGCATGCAGCTCTAAAGGTCAAGGGCTCCCAGTGCAAAGCAGTTCCAACAACTTCTTTGAGTTGCGTGTATTTGCTGTTGTGTTTTTGCTTTTCAGTGGTTGAGTCAACACATAAGCATAGCTAGGATTGCATTCTACCTCTCTTTTCAGCTGAGTTTGTGATTGCGTTTTGTAGTATGTGTAGTATATACTCCACTTCATTTGCCTGCTCTTCACTTCCCATGTGTTCTCTTTCTTGGTTGGCGGTGTGTTTTCCTGAACTCGAAACTGCTGACAAGCAACAAATCAAACCAAGCTGTCAGTGGCTTTTTCTGTGGGGAGCACACTGAGCACACCTACCACTTTCCACAAAGTTGTGGGCAAAAAGATGCAAATTGTTATGTATGTAACAGTGTTACTTGAATATGTTTGAAGCATGAGGAGTTAAAACAACAATTATTGAAGCAGATATATATATATATATAGATTCTTGGACTTCTATTTCAGTCTATTTCAATATATTTGCCGCGCTTGACACTTGAAGTCCACTCTACTATATTGCATTGGAAGCAATAGCTAACAATCGCTAACAATCTACCGTTGTACATGCTTGCTTTGATCGACCACCCCTTTCGGACATTATTTGACATCAAATCATATCATTGTGACATATTTTGACCGTATTTCGGTTGCGAAGCACTACAGCCAGTTCGCACTATTTAGTGAGAAGCCACTGAAGAGCTGAGGTTCGGAATGGTTGGTTTCACACAGGGAAGCCATGATTGCATGTCAGGGGGGCCTTTTGGGGTGGCCCTTTCGGGCTTCGCTTGCGTGACTCGTGTCCAAAATTGTGGCCAATGCGCTCCAAGTCTTTTGTGGGCCCAACGTGTGCGATATTTTTAATGGCAAGGCAGAAGAATCTGCCAGCGATCATTGAATTCGCTCTCCGAGTAAGGCAGCACTGTCTCAAAGAGGGTTGTTGTTGCAACAATCGGTCTGGACCGACCGTCAATTGGTCGCATCTTGGATGCATGATCACAGTGCTGTCTCATGCTGGTCCCGTGGCAGAAGTTGATTGGTGCCAGCTGCCAGTGAGAATGCTCCATGGCTGTGTGTGTAGTCGCCTACGACTATCGAAGATTGGGGTGCGAGCAGGGGGAGAGCAGAATCGCACCAGCAGCTGTTGATGGAAAAGGAGTGAAGCCAGTGCTCCCGTCCTAATTACAATGCACTTTTGTTCTGTCTCTCCACATGTTTGTCCGCACTGTGTAAGCGGAGGTTTGCCTTTGCTCTGTAAACAGATTTTTTGCGCCCAACGCGCAGCTGCGGCTAGACATGTCGTAGCGTGTCGAAGGACGTGATCGATTGTACAAACGAAACGATTGGTGGCAACCTTGGCTCCAGCCTCAACATCATGTCCTTGACAACGATTTCATTGTTTCAGATGTACCAGGTACCAGGACTTGAAGAGATTCAAGGCTCGATTTCAAGGCGATCTCACCCATGTCCAGCTGGGTGGAGATATGCGTTGCTCGGAAGATGCGGCTGAGGGTGTTTGGGCCCTTCATGCCCCGAAATGGCAGGATGTGTGAGACATATCCGTGAGTGTGTGACACCCCCTTTGAGGTGTGCATGCTTGCGACTGTGTAGCTTCATTTCTGCATGGCCAGCCATCCAGGAACATGCGGAATATCGTTTTGGCAATGTTGAATGAACCGTCCAAAACTCATGGAAGCCACCTTCAAGGATAATTGAACCCAAGAAATTGAACATGTCCCTGGAGACGCTGTCATGGCGGGATTGATGAATACGATCGATTTGGTTTGAAGACTTGAGGATGTTGCCCATGCATACCTCAGGCAGCATAGAAGTGTGTATCGGGTGTGTGTCATAGACAATGGATGACAATGGCGAACGTAGCAGCCTGTTGCCTCAAATGCAGAAGGGACATCTCGATGAGCAGTGTGATTTGCAGAAGGGAAGTGCTTCTTTGTTGGGAAGGGATTTGCTTGGCCGATCCTATGCTGGAAGAAATGGACTTATGAATTTCTCCGGGTACAGTAGAAGGGAGGACTTGCACTTTCTATCACTTTCTAGTTTTTGGTGTTGTGGTACATAAGCTCCCGCATGCGCAAAAGGGCTGGCGATTGCTTGTGAAATCAAAACAGTCGGTACACACTCTGTGTTTGCCAGAAATGGGGTCATGCGTGTTGACTGTGTGGTGCAACAAGACTGCAGCCGTCATTTCCCTGATCTCATGCTGTTGAAACTAGGCCAATCGGACTTACCTAAATTGACAACAAACAGGCTGTAGTTTGTAACATTTGTGTTGGTAGGTGTTCTGATCATAATCCAATCAATAGGCCTTGGTCATCAGACCCCAAGCAAGAGATCACAAAGGGTCTTTGCAACTTTTAAAACCGCCGTTTGGATGCGGTTGTGCCCGTGCCACATGCAGTTGATGGCAGTTGCAGTGGTCGGAATCTTGTTGAGGTATGGGGCACCATTGTTTGCAACCTGCATGGTGAAAGACCACCCATGGTCCAAGAAGCAAGCTCAATACACTGGAAGGACTCCATAGCGGCTATAGCGGTGGCAAGTCAAGCTGTGTTTGTTTAAACGATTGAGGCGAGTGACATCGGACCTGCTGTAGCCGGTACATATAAGGACCCAAACATGAGCTGGCACGTCACTGGACAGAAACGCCAGCACTTCATCCAAAGAAAGCGTTGGGGGTTGAGACATATATTTTAGGTGATGGCGCTGGCCGTGCGCGTTCTTTCACTCATCGACACCACACACATACATATTTTTTTACAGCATATGAATTCCCGGAAGTTGACCAAGACATCCAACTTTAACTGCTGAAGTGAGGGTCTACTGAGTCTACTGCCTTTGGCCGGAAGTGTGGGCACTACTGGCACCTTTCGGAGGCATCCAGTGATCTGTGCAGCGACCTTCGAGCGCCCCTTTTACTGTGTCCGACATCGGGACATTGGATTCGTTGATGTGTGAGGTTTGATATTATTGCCTTCTTTGGTTTCTACGTGGTGTCCTCTGCTTTTGCAGGCTCTTTTTCCTAGATTCATGAGCTTTGGTCAGAGTGCGCCCCATTTGTTTCTTTTACAGTCTCCACGGATGCCTTAGTAGCTGCTTTTCATGAGACAACACAGTCCAGATTCCATCCAGAGCCACACACAGCTCGTCGCAGTAGCTTCTGAACCGCTGCTTTTTTGACCCAGGCATGCATCCCCTAACCCACCAAGATGCAAACTGGCAGCTAGCAGCTAGCAAATATTAGTGCAATGTGAATTCACAACGCCAGGCACAAATGCTTACAACTTTTCCAAGATCACCTACATTGTGACTAACAAAGTTGTTCATAATTCTTGCTGACTTGAGCACAAAGGGAAACAATGGTTGATTCAAGGCTTACAGAGAAGTGACTCTGACTTTCGGTGAAGTTCGAATCGAAGTCCTGCACAGTGATGTACAGTATTTGGATGCGCTGCATGTTTTGGGCGATTGGACTGCAGATGTCGACAGAAAAAGCTGAGCTGCAATTCGGCGCTAGGCAGTTTGGAACAGCAACAGCTATTGGAAGTTGATTAAATTGCACCTCGACAGTGACGCTATTGTTGTCCTAATAGGTGGATTAGACTTTTGGTCAGGTCCGTCCGCGTCAAGGTGTGGCCTCACGTTAAGGTCCGTCACGTCGCAACGTGCGAGGTTTGATTTTCGCAACAGCGGCGCCCTTCGGCAACGCTACGACTCCCTGAAGTACGTGGTGAAGCGGTGCCAGGGGAGGGCCGGTGCACGCTTGCAGAAGCAGCTTGTGGTAAGAACTAACCCTGATAAGGATCGTCTATTATCGTCTATTCACTGTTTTTGTCTTGTTTGTGTTTTGCCTTGGTCAGAGGCCTATGCAATTGCCTCACTCGGGCCATGCCTAGCAACAGCAATAGTCAATAGTTTATAATAGGTGGCCATCATTGTAACACTTGCACCTGCAGTGAGACAATCTCAGCATGATACTCCTTTGTGGGCCGCTAGGTCGGCTCAAGACGGACACCTGTCATCACAGCATGGGCCACCTTCTGAAACTCTCAAATTCAGCTTGGTTTGGACAACACTGATACCTACGAGCTTGTCAAAAGTATAAAACACATTGTTTCCTGAGTGCGGCTTGCTCAATTTGTTTGTTCAACCTTCTGACCTACGGCGACCCAGAACCACTCTAAAGGTGCCCAATATTGTTCAAACAAGCGCTTCAGAACATGGAAGCAACACGCTTGAGCCACAAGTTCTTTGTACCTTGCAGTTCTGGGATGCCATAGCCGCCATGGTGATGCAACACCTCACACAGGCCTTGACACACTATCGTTGTGCAGTGAGCATAACATGCGCTTTCTTTGAGTGCCATTTAGTGTGTGCCTTAAAAACATACAGACTAATATAGTTATGTGTGTATGTATGCCAATACAAAAATAGCATACATACTGTATATATAATATTAAGTATTCTACATGTAAACATACGCCAATTATGTATATATATATATATACAGTAATAGGTATGCATACAAAGTACATATACATTGTAGTGGACATTTAGTCTACCGGTTCCCACGAGAATACTTGACACCGATCGGAGTCCATCAGTACTGGCCCTGGAGGTTGCTATTCCAGGCCGCATGCTTTTGGCTGCGGCTTGGACTGACCGCGATGAAAGCGAGGCCCTCCTGTCATCGATCAGATTCCGCACAGAGGGGCAGTCACATCGAAGCAGGTCTAACGATGCCACTTGAAAGGAGCACCCCTTTGCGCATCAATGCAAAAGAGCCCCAATTGCAGACGCATCAGACAGCCCTGTTATGTTGGAGGCCTCACCAGCGCCACGGCTTGACTGCGGCAACATCCAACTGGCAAGACGGGCAGGTTCGGGTGGAGCTGACTCAAAAACGAACCAAGCGCAAGTTGTGACAGTCCTAGAGGTATAGTTCTACCTCCGCTTCACTAACGTGGAAGTGGAAACGGGCCCTTGGGAGGACAATTTCCTTGTAGGGACAGGCTGGTTTCCACACCCATGTTAGTGAGTCGAAGTGTAATTATTGATTGTTGATATTCCTTGCTCCCTTGTGTTTTCTTCATATAATATATGCTGCCTCTACCTTGATTGAAGCAAAGTCGTTGCCCGCAGGCCGGGTGGGCCTCGAGAATCTCGGTAATACCTGCTTCATGAACGCCGGCTTGTTCCTGGGCAAGATATGGCAAGATGGCAAAAGCCTGTCACCCCTGAGCACTGACCAGAATCTAAAAGGGACATAAAAGGACAATTTTAGGGAACATCAGTTGAACATTGCGTCATCGTGTGTGCCGTTTGGTCACTGAGTTGATTCTTTGGGATTCTTGCTTTTGATTTGAGCTCGATCAAGGCAATGCCTTAGTCATATCGAGCCATTTGCGGCCTTCTTCCTGAGTGGAAGATATGCAGGCTCGTTTGGTAATTGTTCTGTGCAGCTACTGGAGGTCCTCCTACTTGGCTGTTCAGCCAGGTGAAGTCAACGAAGCAAACCCCATGGGCTCCAAGGGGCAGCTCGCCGAGACCTTCGCAGAACTGCAGAAGGCCCGGTCCGGGACGACTCGAGAAACTTCAACTTGAAAACATGTTTTCATTCCCAATAATGGTGATGGCCTCCAACCTACTCGTACTGGGGATGGCCTCCAACCTAAGAGACCGTCACACCTCCATTGAGATCTTCCAGTACCAAACGATGCAGGTGGTTCGGATGTTCTTTGTGGGATATCCTGTCAGACCAGACACATAAAGTCGCACTTGTCCTTTCGGATCCTTCTTGGCCTTGCATTTACAATGAAAGCTAAGTCACCTCAAGTCAACCATGTTTCCATTCACAAGTCATGTCATGGAGTCGGGGACCCCAGATGGCGGACAATACGCAAGTGAAAACTTGAGAAGATGGCTGCGCTTCACAGTGAAAAAGGTTTGGAACATGGATAGTGTTGCTTCATGGTGTTGGAACAAAGCCATTGCAGCATGCTAAAGGGATCGTAGCTTTCTTTGCTCACCCAACAGTCACAGTCTTCGCTCTTCAGGTTCTTTGGCAGAGTGAACGTCCAGCCCAGACACTCGGCAGCAAACCTTTGACTGGTGACGGACGACAGGATAAGCACAATCTATTTGACTCGGACATCCGAGGAATCCTGGTGAGATAAAGCGGCGACTGGCAAAGATAGCTCCTCACTTGTTCCAGGGCTATGAGCAGCAAGATGTTCAGGACACTCAGATACCTTCATATTTTACACCGGTCGCAGAAATGTTGCCGTGCTGCAAGGGCTTTCGCAAGTGCAATTCGTTCAGCAATTCGCGCTCATAACGGACATGTCAATTTTTGTGCGACTGCCACTGTGGCTCAGCCCCAGGAATTTCTCGCATTTTGCTTGGATGGCTTGCACGAGGTGCCGCTTTTCTCTCACAGAGTGTCATAGGGGTAGAAATGGTAGAATAAATGAATCATCGCTCAACAAATTGAAGTCAACTATGCCCATGTCACAAGTTGGGTTCTTCGGTTTCTGGGTATGTCAAAAGTGAAGTTTACAATTTACAAGTTTATATATGTTTATATTGTACACATACATATGCATGCGCACTGTTGAAAGTGCAAATTGCATTTGAATGTCGTGTTTGATAGAGACCAGTTTGCGAACGTGCCTGTTGAAGGTAAACCCGAAAGTTCGTCGGGTGGTGCTTTGGGAAAAGCTCGGGATCCGTTCCGCAGGACCTGAGCCGAATCAGCGAGGCTCCGCCTGCACGGACAGAAGCTGAAGAACAGGCAGATGAACGTAGCTGCATTGGCAAGTCAGAAGAATTTGCTCCTGGGCTATGTGTTATGAGCATTGACCAGATGATTTAAATTTATTTAAAGTTGCCATAATAATTCTAGTACGTTTTTTGTTTCAAACTTCAGAAGCTGGTATGATGGGACAGCTACAGCAACAGCTACAGCTGTTTGAAAGGCACAGTTTGTTAGAAGCAGATGGTCTGTTGTTTTATTGGCATGTGTAGCCTGTGTCCAGTGTAGTCATGAGACTTTCACTGTGGCTGCACATTTTGAGATTCCAATTGTGCGCGTCGTTTCCTGAAGAACAATGCATCTCCACTTGCAATAAGTGTGATTGCCATGCCTGCTGTAGTTGCGATCATGCTTTAGGGCTTTGAGAGGCTTTTCCGGACATCGTATAGGTCTCGAATGTTAAGTTTCCCTTAAAAAGAAGATTTTGGACCCAAATGAATAGTGTTCGCGCGTGAGCTATCCTGCGTCCTAAGTAAACAAAGTAGTAGCTTCCTAGAGGTAGTAGCTACCTGAGCTACTTCCTACCTCACCTCCTAGCGGCCTGCCCACCCTAATAAATACAAAAATATAACGCATATACAACAATAAGTAAAATGTAGTATTCATAATACAATATAATATATATATATATACATATCTAATGTTATATCCGCAATAAGGCTGCCGCCCTTGCGTGGATGCGATACTTGGAGCGCTCCAAGTCATTCCTGGTGGATTTGATGCAGGGGCAGCTCAGATCCTGCCTGTGCTGCATGCAGTGTGGCCATCGGTCCAGGACCTCGCTGTCGGACCTCGCTGTCTCGTTAAATTTCTCTCTTTGCCAGATGTGGATCTCTGCTCTTTGCTAGATGGGATTTGGAGTAAGTAGCTTGCAAAGTACTTCAAGGCACACACACAGCGGCTCGCCGTGTTGTCAGCCTTCAAGTTAGCAAGCTTTTTGGAAGTGATGAGTTGGCACCATTTTGCCAAAGAGGAAGTTTGAGCCGTTCATGTACCTCTCATTGCCGGCATCCTGGCTATTACACGGAAATGTGGCTGCGTGCCAGGCTTCATTTTTGCAAGCAGCCGTTTCTCAGGGATCACCATCACACCTATTATATCCTATCCTATTATATAATATATATGGGCCTAGCTCAGAAGTGAGAAGAGTAACATAGTCTATTTTACCTTTCCTAACAGAGTCCAAAGACTCAACATGACTCAACATGACTCAACCATGCTGACGCTTCAAAGACTTCCTGCATTTTGGGATCCATGGGCTTTGCGAAGACGTTTTTCCGATCAGGAGTGGCCAGTATGTCGGAAGCACTTGACAATATCGCTCATGATTGAAGATTCTGAATTCTAACGGTGTCTTCCAGTTTAGTGCTTTGTCATATTGTTCAGGTGACCCAAGAGATGTCAACCGTTTCGGACGCAATGCGCGAATACACCAAAGAGGAGGTTCTCTCTGGCAATGAGCAATGGTTCTGTGAAAAATGCAAGGCCGCGGTGGAAGTCGTGTATTCTTTGCGGTGGTGGTCTGAGGGCATTAGCTGTGTGCAGTTATGAGCTGCTACACAATATAACAGCATTAATATTGTTAATTTCCTTCTTGATGGACCATGAGATGATGGAAAGGCCAAAGTCGACACTAAGAAGAAGATTGACCTGTGGCAACTTCCGCCAGTCTTGGTCATCCACTTGAAGCGAACCTTGACTGCAAAAAGGCCACCAGACGGTACAACACGGGACCGACTTCCCTTCGCGTGTTTCCTTAAGGCTTTGAGTTCGACGTGCGCTCTGGCTACTTCCGGAAGATCAACACACCCTTAGCCTGCGACTTGACCATCGACCTTTCTGGCTTCTTGCGCTGCAAGGTACACCGCCGTGCTGTTCAACTTAGAAGGAACTAGTTGTTCAACTTAGAAGGCTTAATTTGAGGTCCTTGAGAACCAATTCGGTTCATGCCAAGGGGTGAGTATAAATATATATATATACATATGTATACACCTGCTTCATGCCATTTAGTTTGGTGGAGTTGATGCCCCAGCCACCAGGTAAATGTCTTGTTCTTTTGCTTGATGGCTTGATTGTTCCAGTGTTTCTGTTGGTTTTCCTTTCAACTCGCACTTTCTCAGCCTTTTTCACTGCTGTTGTTTTGTTTGCTGCATCTGCATTTGGCCGTGAGCGGGTTGAAGTGGGGTAACCTGACCAGTATAGCAGAGAGTCTCTTGTTCTTTGCGTCGAGCCTTTAGCAATGCTGAGTGATTTTTTGATAAATTATTCCATGTCCTGCCATGTCCTGCCCCTAGGCTTCAAACAAATAGACAAACTCGAGACTTGCTAATCCCCCAAGGCGGGGTCCCGGGGGGAGTACTGCATCGATCTAGGATTAGTGCACATGTGTTCTTTGCGTTTGTAGTCGGGGATGCGAAGTTGAAATTCGCTGCTGCCAAGAACATGCAAAATGCCCGCTGAGGCTTTTGTTCATCCACCCAAAGGCAGGGTGCTTTGTATTCAGTCGCGTGTGTTGCAAACCATTCTGGTGCCTACGGAATGGGACACTACACTGCAACCTGCCGTGTCGGAGACCAATGGTACAAATTCAACGATCCTCGACGGCAAGGAGTTGGATGCTGATGTTTCTGAAGAGCTGCAAGCCTTGTGTTGTTGGCCATGTATACGCAAAAGATCACTTGGAAGCCAAGAGCTTTGGATGGGATCATGCTTGGGATGCCAATGAACATTGCTCGCATCGAAAGTATATGTCTCTCGCTCGCTCCCTTCCCTTCCCTTCCCTTCCCTTCCCTTCCCTTCCTCTCACTCTCCTGATAGCTTTTTTAAGCTTTGTTCCTGGTATCTGGACTCAGGATGAAAGGGTGTCTCGACAACCCCCTGATGAGCCTGTGGTGGGGAACAGCGCCTACGTTCTTTTCCTTGTGCGGCGGTCTCTCGAGGACTGGCACACAGGGCCGATGAGATTGATCGGTGTGTGATTTCTACCCAAAGTTTCCAGGTCTCAACGAATCACATCGCTTCACGAATTATAAGGAAGCACATCCAAGAATATACTTCAAGTACATGTTCTTTGCATTTGCTTTGGGTGTGGGTGTGGTTGTTTTCTTTTCCCAGAGTTGTGTCCATTTCGCCCGACAATCTCACATTATATCATTTTCCCCCACTGTACGTAATGGCCTTCAGCTGCGCAGAGCAATGCGCATTGCTCATTTGCTGAGCTTGGTTTGCCAGTCAAATCGCCCTGGCAATAAGACTATATACTGTAGAAATTACATGAAATGATCCAATTGTTTTGTGAGAACCAGCTATTCACAATGAAACTACATGATTAGGTTTGTTTAGGACAAAGCAGGGACGCCCTGCTACCAGGACGGGTACTACTCTGCCGGGCACAACTCACCGTTGCTCAAGCAGTCCCAGACTGAGCTCTCAACGAACGCGGTTGGACACATTGACAACTAAGAAATAACAGGAATCTTCAGAAATATTGGATTTGCAAGTAGCAAATGCATCTTTGTCACTATTTTGTTTTGATGCTTCGGGCGCAAGATCATTGACCAGTTGGGCAGTGAACATTGAAGTGTTGATATGTCACAGGCAGACGATGAATATGCCAGAGCTTTGGCCACATCAGCTCTCGCAGGATTCTGACAATTTGGATGCAGAGAAGCATGCGACGAGATTCAGATCCACTTCTGACGATTTGTGGATCTTCACAGTGGTGCATTGTTTTAAATTTTACATGTTTAAACATTGTACTGATAATAACGCTCCTGGAGTCTTTCCATGGCAGCACAAGACTTCTCCAGGACTTCTCCAGCCTCATGAAGCTGCGTAGGGATGAACCTGCGGAAGGAGAGATCTCATTTCTTGAGATTTGTTGGTTCTTCCTCCTGCTCCTGTTTTGTTGAAGCAGGACATGCCTTATATATATATATATATATGTAAAGTGTTTGGAATTCAAGAGCTATGGCGACATCAGCCACTCCAGGGTCATATGCCCTGCAAGGAGCCATCAGCAACGAGAAACCATTATACGTGATGTTGTGGCCTCAGAGAGGAATTTGGCAGAAGCAAAGTTCAAGCAGATTTCTCAAACGACGGGCTGTGGGGGGCGGCCAATCTCTTTTCAATCAACACTGTCACCCAGAACGTTGCTGATGTGAATTTTCACATCGAAGCATTCTAGGCTGTTCCTGCTTGCGAATCAGAATATATATTGAACAATACGATAATGCATATATGCAGTAGATATAACATGCAACACCACTTCTATCACTGCTGAGTGATGTTTCATCAAACGGAACGACCACCTCCTTGTCAGCATCGCTCCGGAGGAAGCTTCCAACACTGCCCTACAACGGACACGACGAACTAAAATCAGACAACGGTAGCAGTGATGAGGACCTTGGTTGATGCTGAGACCAGTGCTCTAATGCAAATGGAGCATGCGATGACCAAGAGGTACAGTAATCAGCAGTGGTGTTGAACCTTTGAATCGGTGTTTTGAGAATTCGCTCCACCACAACATGGTCGTGCAGCGCAGGATGTGGAGACGCCTGTGTGTGGTAGCTTCGGCGGCTGGGGCGGATGGTGGCCCTTCGCATTGACTTGATGAGCTACTTCACCCACGTAGGACGTGCAGTCATGGACCATGCATGGATGAGGCATGTTCAAGCCCTCTTGGAAGCTAACTCGAATCAAACATTTCGCTCCTTGGAACTTTGCGTTAACGTTTTAACGCATTCAAGTGCTAGGCTGCTAGACTTTGACGCAACGCAGGAACTACTGTCTATATATAAATAGTTCGGATGCAATATTGGCGTGTTTGCACATTTGTACATTCATGTGTATAAATATATATGTATGTAATAGTATATGAATCGCAAGTACATTTTGTGGTCATACATGTGTTTATCGGAAGCACTGTGACTCGAACATTGAGCTGCTCCAATTGGCAGGATTTTGGATCGTTTAGTTTTGGTACAGGTGCCTTGATTTGCATGCCAGACTTGCTTCTGCATTCGCCGGACATGTGTGTTTCTGTGAACACAGAGGTCACTTCGCCACCAAAGTGGCGAACGGAACGTCCTGTTGACCGAACGGTTGCGTGGAGACGGACCGCGTTGGCCCCTTGGGCTGCTTGAATTCGTGGATTCAGAGCTCGGGGATGGAGCTACCGAGCCACCGAGCGGAGATGCAGTCCCATGCAGTTGGTATCAGGATGACGTGGAAGTGCCTGTTTTATGGCTGTTCAAACTCTACCGCTACTGCAAGTCAAAGACGTCAAAGTCACATAAAGCTAGCAAAGCTATTTCCCACCTCCACTCTTTGTTTGTTGGATCGTGCTGCGGCAGATTTATAAATTACACACCAGAATTGTAGTAGTTTTATACATATATATGTGTATAGATGCAAGCGTGGTTAAGTACTTAACACCCATTCATCTAGGAAAACATGACTAGTGTTTCTGCCCACTTGGAACACCAAAAGCAAGATTCAGTGAGTGCTGCGCAAACTATCACATGATGCTTGTGAGCGTTTTTAGCTATGCAATAAGTAGCTAGCCATGCATCAGGACTATCATGGCACGTGCAGGTTATTAAGTATGATGCTGCACCATGGTTCAGATCCTAGCTGCTATGTTAAAGCTGCCATGACGTCATAGCATCCACACAGCAACTCCTCTTGCTGGAGCTATATAGCTATACGCTAAGGACAGTCCTCGCTATCAATACGTATCATATCAATACCTTGGGTTTTTCCTTTTAAAGGAAGGCTTTGAATGTGTGACTGCACAAAGGTTCAGATTTTAGCTGCTATGCCGCACGTAACTGCTATGTGGTTGCATCCGTCTCCCATCACTGCACTGCGTAAAGGCCCAGCAGGTTGTTCAGACTAAGATGTTCCAGGCAATCAACAGCCCCGCTACGGGATTTTGGTAGCATCCATCATCCTTAAGCAGTATGTGGTGCTGCTGAGCAGTAACCACCTTGCGGCCATCTCTTTGACGGAAAAACCGACGGCGGATTCAGGTGAGTCGGGGCCATGACTGGCACCTCATTTGCTTGGCCTCACTATCTTTCACGGCTGACCGAACAGGAGATGGTCCACCAGAAAGGGTTTTAGCTTAACAGGTTCTAAACCCATGAAATCCTTGATTGTTTGAGACTGAGATGTGGGTCAAAAGGGGTTTACAGATGCAAAGCTGCACATTTCGTTACTGTTTTGTTTCCGTGTGCACACTGCACTTGCAGGTTGGAGACCATCGTCTATGAAGTTGACCTTGCTTTGCAACGACACAGTTGCACCCTGAGCTGACGTGCCTCACGTTCGTTACCCAACCAGATTATGTTTTTGGATATTTCCACCTTGCGCCGTGCACCACGCAGACCGTTTGTCTTCAGTGCAAAGATCTTTTCTGTCTTGGTTTGCGGGGCCATTGTCGCAGCACTGGTTGACCTGGAAGGTCGGAACGTGACCGTAGGTATAGGTATACTAGTTACCTCAATTATATATAGAAGAAATTGAGGGTATATATATCTTCTATTTGAAATGCATCTGGGAGGGTGCCATCCGTACCATTCAAATAGAAGATCCCATTAATTATTTGATCAAAATGATCAAATTTTTGGTCTTTTGAGCTACTTTTGCATTTTGGATTTTCTGCTCAAAAATATATATATATATCTTCTATTTGAATGGGCACCCCCAACTCTGCATCTTCTGTTTGAATTAATTCCCGAATATCTTCTATCTTTGAGGTAAACAGTATACATAACGTAGGTCTTAGAGTCTTATATATTATATATAACAAATGTACATACACCATTACAATATATACATACACATGTTCGTAAATTATATATATGTATACATATGCATATACAATATATATATATGCATAACAACAACATATAATATATGCTACATTAATTATGGATGGAACAGGTCCTATGTCCATATAGGTATCGTAGGTGTTTCATGTGTTTGCTATGCAGCTATGGTTGATGGCATGATGGGCTCCGTGCCTGGCCACAAACTTGCCTTGTTCAGTCCCGCGTTGAATTCACTCGAGAGGGCAATGGAGACAGAAAAAGATAGAGAGAGACACAGGTATGGTAGGGAGCACCTTGGTCGGGACACCGTTGCCGCATTGGCAGTGTGCTGCTTCACAAGCAGCTTCAGGTGCAGCTTCAGGGCCTGCTGAGGTGCGGCGGAGTGAAGTCGAGAGAGAGAGAGAGAGGTGGAAGAGAGAACAGTATCACGCAATAGGTAGACGCTAGACGAACATATTTTAGGCCAAGAAGGAGTTACGTTGATGGCTGCGCAAATCAAGCACAGCGCCTCAGGCACCCAAGCGGACAAGGCTCTCAAGTTGCATTGAAAGGGGTTTTGGCCGCAGGGGGCATGTAGTCCTACGACGTACGAGTTGGGGGTATGGGTCGTTTCGACATGTCAAAGTCAACTGCAAGCAGGTCCCAGCTGATTCTTTCGACATAGCGGCACATCGTATTTGCTCATTGACCTGAAGGTCTGCAGAACCTGACGGAGAAGCACTTGTCAAGGCAGTGGACCTTGGCCTGTTGAACAGCATCAAGGCAGGCTGGGCTGATTTGAAGGAGATATAGTGATATGTTTTCATGTGCTTGACGGTGCTTGTCATACCACATCACACCACTTTTTTGCGCCAATGTTTTTGACTGGCATGAGGAGCGATACGACAATTTCACCGACATGCGAGAGCAGGTGTGGATTTTCTTTACTATGATGCTATGTATACTGTATATTGAATTGCATGGCTATGGCGATGGCCATAGACTGGTGTTCGATCCTGACATTGGTTTGGCAGGTCATCAAGCGCTCTCGGGACATCGGCAAGGGCGCCAAAAATGCTGTGCAACTTGGCTTGGCCGTCGTTACACTTCCAAGTTCGGGCTCTCCACAGAACCCCAGGTGAACATAAGAGGGCAAATGAGGCATGTGAGCACAGTTGCTATCATTTGCTTAGAAGACGAGCAGAGCATGTACAGTTGAACCTGCACAGCAGCACATTGTGGTCTAAAGCCGTGGTTGACTTCGACGACTCGCAAGGTATGCCCTTCAGCGCGCAGACTACCCCAAGGCCGGGCCCGGCCCAGCATAAAAAGAACAAACACAAGTTGTTGTTGCTGTAAGTCGGCCCCCATTGTAGCAAGTTAGACACTTCAACTGTTCCAAAGGCTGCCAGTGCATCAGGGCATCAGCTTGTGTCACTTGGTTCTCGCAGTTCTCACCAAAGCTTGCTCAGGTCCTGGCTGTGTAATCCGTAGTCCACTCGGTGCATTGCAGTATGCTGACTAGAAATCAACTACACGCCCAGATCTAGGTGACAACCCCACAAGTCAATCTAGCTGTTTGACCAAACTGATTGCTGCTTAGTTGAGGTGTATAGCATGGTATAGCGTTCAATTTAAAGGGATTGTTTCATTATGTGTCATTGTCCAATTGCAAAGATTATGACAGCAACTGATGACAAATCGAGCATTACACGAAATCGCGATACCCACCATAGCGCTGCCGTAAGTAAGCCTTGACTTGGCAGGCGGAGGTTTATCTATCACACTGTGCCAAAGAGGCAGGTTTATGATGGAATGAGAACTAACTAAACACGAACCTTTTTGGATCGTCTAACCTGTGATTTAATCAGGAAGGGCAACACAAACATTGATCTGATCCTGGGGCATCACGCATGTTAGATCATGTTAGATCATTGACATTTTGCAGCCTTCAAGACCAGCACCAATTGCACGCTAGATGTTGCTGCAATCCAATTTTGTTGTCAGGCCAGTACAACTTTCAAGGATTTTATTTCAGCAGCGCCGAACCTGCAGCAACACCCAGTGATTCAAGAGTTTGTCCCAGTGGCAGCGCTAAGCTTGGACAACGCCTCGGGGCTCAATGCCCATTTTTCTCCAAGGCGGCCTGTCGGCTTTAGCGCTGCTTTGGAAGAGATGGCCGAGGCCGTTGCCTACCGCGCCTTTCTAAAGGACAGTCTTGTCATGTCTTGTCCAACACCGTGCTCGATGTCCTTTGATTTTGTTATTTGGGATGCCATGAGGACAGTCGAATCTTGAATAAAGCAGAGCCAACGCCTCGGACCAGGTGTCAGATGATGTCAACTAGATTCCTAGATGCGCAGTCAGCTCCATTCTTGAACCCCAAGCCTTTGGCCCTATCAGTGTTCCATCATGCACATGAATTGTCGGCTTCGGTCAGCTACACGACACCCAGCTGCTGCGCCACACGCAAATTGTCGAGAGTCAATGAACATGAACATGACCATTCATGGCCAAAGGGTCATGATGGGAGGCATTCTCAGCCATGCTTGCTCACATTGCCACACGCCATGACATCCTCCTTCGTTATCGGATTAACCTGACATCAATTAGCAAACTTGTACAATTGTTTGATCAGGGAAACCTGCTGCCAATTTGTCTTGGAAGTATTATCTAAGATATATAAAGGCATTGCAGACTGTTTTTTGCCGGCAAACAGTGGCCATGGGCCAATCGCTACAACCCACTCTGCAAACAGGTAAAAAGACTCATGTCATTATATTGATTCATTTGTTCTCCTGTAGATAGAATGTGCGTGCTGTTCCTAGAGGCCTCGTGACAAGATCTAGATGTCCCGTGTAGTCACTTACTTGGTCCCTCTCATTTTGTCCTAGGCTGCAGGCTGCTAGCGGCCTGCTCGACTCTCAGAACAGAAGATCGAGTAGTAGCGCTGACGTGGGCAGAATACAGCCAGGTGCCGCTGGCGGGCGCCTGCCTGTGCTGAGGTTGCATGTTTCTTTCTGAGGCTCTTCGAGCTGACCTTGCAGGAGTACTTGGGAGGAATTCTGGACCTCACCGGTGAGGTCCCGATATGTGCTGTCGCTTGTGCTCAAAGCATCTCAAAACGACAAAAACAACGTTTTGTGAATCAAACGAGGTTGCTGATCCATATCACTATCCCGTCCATGTTTCCTGCTTGTTGTCGTTCTGTTGTTTCCTGCTCCTTTCCTGTTTTTGTTCGTTCCTTCTTGTCTCTCCTTTGCGAACGCTCCATGTTAATATATTAGTTGTCCTTCAGAGTGCAGAGCATGGAAAGATGTGTAATCCTCCCGATGCCAGGGGTGTATAAAGAAAAGGCGACCCGGGCTTTGACAATCCCACATTGTGTTCTATTTTCCCTCCTCGATATGAGAGGTGTCCAGAACAGTTCTCACCCAGGACTAGCTGCTGGAGGGTGAGAGATGTGATTCTGGATCACACTTTGCAGCTGGATCACGAAGTTTCTAGTGAATTTACAGTGCGCACTGACTCATGTGCACTCATATCCAATGGCCGCACTGGGCAAGTCTTGAAGCGGCATAGTTTTGCAGGTTGGTCGGCTGGCAATCCGCCAGGCAACACAAGGACGAGAGGCACAACTTTGGCAATCGTTTCTTAGAGGGAATAGAAAAACTTTGCTACACTTTGGCTAGCGGCTATCATGTTGAAAAACATGTTTGATCGTTTTGGGCAGGCTGTCAGAGATGTGGAGCTGTGCCTTGCTTGTGTTGACGGAGTGTGCTCTGGGGTCCAGGAGCTCCGCATTTGCAAAGATTATATACTGTATTGTTTGCCTCCATTGCCACCAAACATTTTTTGCAACAGAGTTGAACGATGTGCACATCAAGCATAACTTTCAGTTTCCTCAGCGGCCCACCCTTGAAATTGAATGAAATTGACTCTTAGCAGTTTGGCATGCATTTTTGTTGGTGCTTTTTGTATCTTGCAATCATGCTCTTGCGTCCGCGCGTCCCCCAATGTCCTGCAAACCAGGAATCTTGGTCCGCTCCTTGCTCCTTGCTCCTTGCTTGGCTCAATGCCACCACAGGAGCTGGTCTATCTCCCTGGAGTTGGCAAGAAAATGCCTGCTGTGAAGGTGGGACTTTGCGGGGAGTCTCAACCCAATGATAGACATTACATCAGATTATATTCTGATTCTAATTGTAGTATTCATTAGCTTCTTAAGATTCCAACTATTGCCCTTGAAATGGCTTCGCAGTCAAGGCTCAGATGTAAGATGTGCATCACTATGCCTTGGTTTGTTTCCACAGGTATGTATATAATTATGTATAGATGTTCAAATTCATTCAAACCAAGCACTAGATATTGTGTCCTTATCCGGGTTTGGCCTAGCCGAGCGGTTATGATCAGGCGACCCTATTAAAGATCGAGGGCGTCCTCTACGAACTTGTGCGCCAACCTGGCTTGCTGGAGATGTTAGGGAGCTCCAGAATAAGAGCAGCATCACAAGTTATTTCACGTCTTAATCAAACATAATCAAACACTCAATGTGTTAGCACGTGTTATAAGTTCTGCTCCTGACCAGTTATTGCCTTGTGCAGGCGCTCCTTTCACACGCAGGCCTACATGCCAAGGCCAATCGTTTCAGATATCGTTAGTTCGAACAGTCACTGCCCCACCCTCTGAGCTGCTTTTGATTCTTCAGCGACTTTCTGGTTCCCCAGCACCTTTGCAGTATCAGACTCAGCCTTTTGGCAGGCTCCAGAGCCCCAGCGAGAAGACGAAACAAGAGCCACAGACGAGCCATAAAGTGCACAGGCAGCCCGCAGCTTCAGGTGGAATAGGCTACCACGTTTGCAAGGGCTTCATGTCGTTTCAATAACTTTTGCGTGGTCAAGTCAAGAGGCGTGAGGTCCTTGAAGCTTGGCAGTGGCTTTGCCCAGTGGATGTACATAAAATGCTATGGATTGCTCTTGCAGAAAAAGCGCTCATGGTCAAAATGTGCTTCACCAGAATACCCGAATAGCCGATGCTCAAACACAAGAAAGACCAGGCCAACATTTGCAAGTAGTTCATTGTGCATTCAACGTTCTGCATAGATTACGGCCGATGCCTGGCTAGATACATAAAGTATAGCCTTCCCGGAGACCATTGGCTCGCAGGTAATTGAAACGTGGTAATGATTAAACAAGCTAGAATCTAGAATGTACAAGTACCAAAGGAATAACAAATTGCACAACATCAATCACAAGACCTTTCTTTTGCAGAAGCCATTCTGCCACTTGCCGTGACATTGTAGTGAGCTAATTATGTTCTTGTACTTTTTGATTTGGCTCAACTTTTGCAATGCTCACAACTTGGCTCCTGCCTGTGAAACAACGGCATCCAAAAGGCAGCTCTAACCCAGTCAGGGAGTCATTTAGCCTTCAAATGGAGCCAAGCCAAAACAAGCCAGAATGTTCCTTCATAAATAGGCTTGTCATGTCGCATTTGGGTTGAGGATGTGTCAACACCTAATCAGCACATAAATGAGCACAGTAAGACGCTGAGCTGGTGATGTCCCCTGGAGGGGATTGCAGGCCGCTCTCTTCAGGCCCTGGGGTCCAACTGGGGTCCCCTGCGGCTCAAACTGACCTAACTGGCCGCTGCTCCAACTGGCAGGGCAGACATGAAACAGAGTTTTCCTTAACAGACATCAGACCAACACAGTGTTTTGCCACTGACATTTCTTGATTTTGCTTCCTTCCCACATGGCGCGATGCTTTAGCAGCGCTTCGCCTCCAGTGGATGGGTCTTCATGTGTTTCCCCCGTTTCTCTTTGGACAAGAGTCCCGAAGCCTTCGATGATCACGATCACCCAGCCTTCAACTTGTGAAACTTGGCCTCCAGGGCCGGAGACGTCTCGACTGTTTGCAGCTGCTCTCCTTGGACACGTGGTGGACAGCAACAGGGCCGCAGCTTGAGGATGCTTCGAGTGAACGATGTGTAAAAAGATGAAACGTGATTTGTTGGTTGGCGCTTGGCTCAAGCACTTTGAGGCGTGAACATTGATACACTTGTGAGTCAAGTCACTTGTGACTTGTGAGCCATGTCAGCTGGCTTTTGGACTTGCTTCTATGCTCTTTTGTTTTAATACCCCAAGCTTACAATGTGTGTGGACGATGATTATAGTTGATTATATTGTGTTTGAGTTGGTCCTTCCTGCGATAACGGCACTAGAAAGCGTTTCATTTCAAAGGCGAACGAAGAAGAAGATAACCAGGTTTTCCAAGCTAACTGGCATGAATCCCTTGATTATGTTATACCAACGCCTTATTTTGCAGGGATTGTTTAGCTGCCAAGGTGCTGGAGAGTCACAGTGCAACTTTCACGACACTCGGCACTGGCACATGTGAGGGACAAGAGACAACGATCGTGCAATCGTGCCAGCCATTCAACTTTGACACATTTTTGACAGATGTTGTACCAGTCTCAACACCAAATGGGAACCCTCCAAAGACATAGGTAGCGACGATAGCGGAAGAGGGTTGTATAATGACATGTTCGAAGAGGTTTGACAGATGTCCACTGCCAACTGTAAAAACGTGCAGAGACCTGCCTTTGGCCCTTTGGCATCCTTTGACGTTGGCCTTTGGACAGGGTCGACGCGTGTATGCTGCTTAGGTGACACACTTGCCGACGGGAGAATCTTGGGCAGTGAGACGTCGCCTCACAGAATGGCTCCACTTGGAAGAGCCCCATGGCTGCAGATCCATGATTAACTAGGTGGCCATATCAAGATGGGCCTATTGACTGGGCCGCATGATACAAGACTGGACTTGTGGAATAGACCGTGACTCGGAAGGCTTTGGCGTCAACGGACGTTTGGTATTGTTTATTGATGTTCATTGATGATTGACCAGTTTTGGCGATCTCGGAGGTGCTGAGGTGCTGGCTCTACTATACATTACCCCATTTGTGGTATTGCTTGCCATCGGCAATGCCTTTGTGCTTGTAAGGATTTGGATGGGATTGGGCTGGCAGCCTGTGGGGATCATTTCAGGATCGAAATGCTGTCAAAGTTGATAGACGTTGATAAATATATATATATATACACTGGGGTGCCAAAAGTTGCGCTTCTTGACTTCTAAAACATCACGAACCCTTTCCCCTTAGAATCCTACGTGCAACATGTCGACACCTCAGTTGCGGTCAGATTTCCACACCTGAAAGCCTTATAAATATAATAAATGTAAACGGGCGTGGAAATCTGACCGCGCTGTACGCGCCACGCAAAATGGACGTGTTAATCGGATCCGCTGTAGACCGCAAGTGTCATGTTGGAACAGAGTAAGAAGCGTAAACTTTAGGGTTCTTGAAGTATATATACTATCCGTGACTGGCTCTTAGAATTCAACATAAGGAATTAGGAATGTAGTTAGAATATACAAATGTAATTCCGAGCTTCCATGCACTTAGAATCTACACCAATGCACTTAGAATATACAAGAGGCAAAACAAAAGTGATACATCTTAGCTCCTTGACTCCTCAATGATTCTTTCTTTAATGAGGAGGTGCCAACAGATAATGGATGCCAAAGATAAAAGCATGCTTTGCTTACTGTAGTAAAGTTACAAATGGAAGTGATAAAGATCAATGGTGTTGATTCAATGGCTGCTCCACCATATATATTCTAACTGCATTGTATTCGATGTGCTATTTTTACCAGGTCTGCCTCAGTGAATTAGATCCTAATTCATGTTTTTAATTGATTCTATATTCTAACTCCTGGTCAGTTGCTGTATATAAATGTGTCCTCATCCAGCAATGCAATCCACAATGTGTAGTAGGATGCGAGCAACAGTGACCGAAGATCATTGGTATCTAAGTTTCCCTAAACATTTAGCTAGGAACCAAATCATCAGTGCGAGCGCTTCTTCAAGGAAGCGTAAGCTATCCTGCGTCCAGTTCCTAGAAGCTAACTAGTCGCCCTTACTCAATTATGTAGGTGCCTACTGAATTAAATAAGGGCATGCTAGCACAC